AGATTAGGAAGGCAGCAGGCCAGTCCCTGGTATCAAAAAGGCTGAGAAACTGCTCTGAACTATTAGAGCATCTGGGCCTAACTTTCCTCTGCCTTCCGTCTAGTGTAGTCATTAGTGTTTGTGAAAATTAGGCTTAAAATGACACCATGCTGATTTGCATGCATTTTATGCTCCCTTTGTTCAGATGTAAATGACTATGCAAGGCACCAGAGAATCAGGTTCTCTGATTTGAACTTGGTCCCATCCTGTAAACATTCACACAAATGCTTAACTTGGAGCACATGAGTAGTCCCACAGAAGTCAGTGAATCTACTTACCTGCGCAAATTTAAGCGTGTGTGTACATGTTTGCAGGATTGCAGCCTTAGACTTTGTTAACTCAGATACTAATAGATTTACACCCACTTCCCAATGTGTAATTTAGAATAAGGGTAGGGAGTCTATGTTTTGGTGTCACTTATGTGTTGAGGAGTTGGAAGATGATGACACTAATTTGCACCTTGCCTCCTTTTGGTTGCTTGTCTTGTGACACTCCTCTCTGACCCCCCAGCACATAAGTTACAACATTGTAGGTATTCCTTCAGTCTAACCTAGACTCATTCCCTTACACAGACCCAGTGGCCCAAATCCAGGGTTGATGTGTAAGGAGGCTATGTAGATTATACACGGATAAGAGGTGAAGTCTAAACTGGTAGCGTATTACATATGAAGACAGAAAGAGTGTACAATTCCAGTGCCTTAAAATTCTACCTGCCCTCCAGGGAATTTTCTACCCTGCACAGTGAATTCCATTAAACAACACTAGCTTCCTTGTAAAATAAAAGACACCCTCATCCTGCACAGGAAGTGAAAAGCTCTCCAGCTGAAAATTACACTACTTTACACTTACTTTGTCTTTGACAACAAGACTATCATAGTTCCCCTGATCAGTGTTGGCAATTTTTTTGTTTGTTTGTCTGTTTGTTACACTGAAAACAATGCCAGCCAGTCTGACTACCACCAAAGCTACTTTATTGCATGGTTACAATTTGGTTCTCAGAAAAAATAATTCCCTTTCACAAGGGCCAGGGTAGCATGCTGATAGTGACACATTATATTTAAATAACTGTGGTTTCCAGCATGGTTTCAAATGTATTAAGGACATGGCCATCCATTAATTGGCTGGTGACTGGCGGGAGAAGGTGGAATTATAGAAGGATGTTTCAGTAAATGGAAAAGGCAAGAAACCACAGTTAATCAAAGAGTGATTTGTCACTGTAGAAATCCAGTTAATAAACTGAGGAAAGAGCCAAACAAACAGAAAAATCACAGAATCCCTGTTTTCTTTTGGTCTGTTTTAATTTTCGAGTGCTTAAGTTACAAGATAATTTACCTTGTTACTTCAACAGAAGATAATACAACTGCATTAATAGAAGTCACCTAGATTCATGCTTTGAATTTGAAAAGTAAGACACATGTAGTTTCTACTAACACTGTTTATGTGCTGGTACGCTTCTTCCTGCTAAGCTACAAACTGAAGAAATTCTAGGAAAACTGAAGCAGTTCTAACAAACAGGTTTCAGTAACACAAAGTGACACATTTCAGTATATATTCATAAGGGTTGGGGGGTTATTACTGGGCTGTAATTGCAGTTGTTCTAACACCTAATAAGCCACGGTTGGGAAAACAAAGGCAGGTTAATTTGTGATTTCCTCTCCTCATTCAGAGGCAAATTAAGTGTCAAACAGCTAATACAGAACATATTTCATTTTATGAGATTTTAATTTAATTCTGCACCATATTGTTGATGCCTTAATGTAGGGTGGTTTATCTAAGAAGAAGAGCAATTTATAAACCTCTTTCAATGGAATCTTTAATGATAGGATACGATAGCATAATTATAGCAGTGCCTGTTAGTCCTACTATACATATGAATCTGTCAGCAATTCTACCATGAACATAAACTCCTATTTTAGGGGTTTATAACTCAGTTATAAAATTTTGCTCCAGGGTGAAATTTGGGATACAAGATTTCTGCCCATGAGTAATTAAAAAAAAACCCTAATATCTCATATACATATCTTTAATGGTGGAACTATGCAAGAATCCTTTACACCCTAAAAGTTTACTGATATTGACTTTTTTTTGTTTTGCCTGTCACTCAAAAAAGATATTTTAGGCCCAGATGCCATCATGTGCACAAGACCTTTTTGAAATGTTCTGTATTTTTCCTCTATTTGTTCTATTGATACCTAATTATAGTAAGACTCCGCATTCTTTAGGTATAGATCTCAACCAGCTTTGCAAAGTTGAGAAACCATCATTAACCCCAGTTTTACATATGGGGAAAATATGGAGCAGAGAAGCTGAGTGACTCACACAGAGAGAGTCAGTGGCAGAGAAGTGAACAAACCCTTGGTTTCCTGACTCCTGTTGTATGCCCTATCCGCAGTCTCCCAGAAACTGAAATAACTTTAAATCCGTTTTTTTTTAAAAGGATGCCATGACAACTATCCAAATAATGTCTCCAAAAGAATGATTAATCCTTTCTAAGCCAAAATCCAATGTTCCTAAAGATGGATTTACACCAGAGACATAGCTGTTGGTGTCTATCATGTTTATACAGTACTGTGAATTTTTGAAAACTCTACAACCTATGAAAATGCCTACGAAAAAGCTGTTATAGTCTGAAAGTTTCCTTTGTACAATTACCTAATGACATATTGACATTTAATTACACTGATCATATTGGGTCCATTACATACTGGGTATGTTATACCCTATTGTTTCAGCAATGGCATAAACAAACAGAAGGGAAGAATAGTTTGCTTAAGTTTATGCAAAAATAAATAAACAATAACAAAGAAATTTTAATTTTAAAGTTAAAGGCTGAAACTATGACATACATCTCAAACAACTGCCTGCAGCCCATGATCTCATGCTAAAATCCTATTGTTTCTTATGAGCTATGCAGTTGTGGGAGACGTCCAAGGTGCTGCAGGAAGTATTGGTGTTGGTTATTCAATAAGTGGCACTCTTCCTTCTGAGTCAGTTCCGATTCCACTGACCCAACGTGGTATGAAGAGGGTGTATTGTTGTATTTCAGATGAGACATTAAACTGAGATATTGACCATTTATGGTTCTTAAAGAATTTGTGACGCTTTTGTCACAATAGGTTTTTAACCCCAACTCCTCTTCATATTCCAAATTGAGTAACCACATTCTGCTTACCTAAAATTTGCCTCTGCTCTGTTGTTAAGCACTGGTAAAATACTGTTGTGATACACCCAAGAGACTAATGCATTTCAGCAACAGGAAAGTGATCCCTAATAGGGCTCATCCTTGAAATCTCTGCCTAGGCAAACTACAGGCCCAGAATCTGTATATTAGTTTATATAAGTTTGCAGTAATATAGTATATATAATATAAGTATAAGTATATTATATAAGTTTGCAGAGCAATTTGGTATCCTTTGGAATGAGAGATGCTATTAAATACCAGGTATTATTAAATAACAGTAACGGTGACAATCTTGCTCTTGTTGAAGCCCAGGGCATAATTTCCCTTGACTTCGAAGAGAGCAGGATCATGCCCTAAGCCTCCAACCAGAGGCTGACTTTAGAAACCCTGTGAAGGACTCTAAAGAGCTTACATCAGAATCTAGCTTCATATGCATTGCAAAACCTAGAATGAAAGGGGTGAATCTGTATGTTGCTTCCACCTTAATTCAAAATGTCCCTGTTTTTGAACTGTAGGTTTAAATCAAAATCTTTATTTTAATGTATTTTATTGCATGGTTGATTACGGTGTAAATACTTACTGATGTATCAGTGAAACTCTAAGGAATAAATCACAAGTTTCTGTGCTCTCTCTTTCATTCTGTAAATACCCACTTTTCCTTTAATGCCTAAGGAAGACTGCAACACAGATTTATTACTTCCCTCCAGGCAAATTTGCTCTGAAATTAAAATTCAGTAATAGGAGACTAATCCAAAAAAACTGTTGGTAAAATATTGCGTGTGTACTTGGGCATGTAGTTAGGATTGTTAATATCAATTAATTCTGCTCACAGAGGAGGACTTGTTTTAAAACAACTTCATTTTTCTTCTGTATATATGTAATTACACAGCTGTAACTAATAGCCATGGAGATGCAATCTGCCATCTAAACAACTAGCATTATTCTTCAAAGTATTACTTTTGCATTTCTTCTTTTATTTTCTCAACAAGAGAGGTGATTATTAGATATAATTAAATGTATATATCAAGACTTTTAGCACAGGAGTAAGCCTTCCTTATGGCTCCATTTTTTTATGGTATATGGCAGTTTTCTGAACATTACAACTAAAGATCATTGCTTTATTTTGCAAATCTGATACTCCTCTCTACATATAGAATAAGATAATGGTTATTTCCACAGGGTTCCTCCTCTCCCCTCTTCTTCTAATGCACGTTATCACTGGCATTCTTTTCTTTTATCTTTGTGTAAACCATGTGCTCTATTACATTTGCCATTTTGTTTGGGTGACATTCCCATCAATCACCTGACTGCTTGTGCACACACACAACAGGGGCTATGAAAATTCCCCCAAAATTTCATTATGCTTCATGGCAGTCACTAGGAAAAAGCTTTGACGTTACAGGAAATTTTAGCTATGAAGAATCCCAAGCCTAATCCAGAGAAAGTACACATTTTTTTTAGCAGTATTTTATAGGGCTCTATGCTTTTTAATTTAGTATTTATAGAAAGACAGCACACAGAATAAACATCAGCAAAATATATAGGTGACATTTGCCAGCTACCTATTATAACAGGCATTCCTAAGGCACCAGCCTGGTTCTGCTTCAGTGAATCCACGAACAGATAAACTCGACGCATTCCAAACGTAAATCTTGCTCTCCAGCTTGAAAAGGAAAGCTGCAAAGCTTTCCAGGCACAGAGTTTTAAGTACCATAAGGATTCCAATATTTGTCTCTTGTTGTAGGCTCCATAATATAACAATCTGGAAAATAATACTTACACATGCAGTGGAGGAATGGGAGATGGTTCATAATGGTAACGTCCCTCGTGATGTCTTGCATCAATTGGCACAGGAGGGTGGAATGCTGGAAAAAGGTGAGGTGGATCTGAAAAACAAATAAGGTTTCCAAATATGAATATATCATGCAGCTAATTTTTAATATTAATTACACATCTCAAATTATGTGCCAACTCTTGTATGATGTACGGTCAACTTCTTCTTTCTCAATACAATGCCGGTGTAACTGAACAAACTTTGCCCCATAAAATTTGCATAGATGAGCGTGAATATTCATTTATTAATTTTCATATACTCTTTTTTCTATCTTAAATGGCAAATTACATGAAAAAGCCTTTAATAAATAATTACAGTGCACACATGTGAAGTGTCAGATCAAAAGGATTGCTGAACCTTTTGTAAGCATCCCTGGTTCTATTTTTTTTCATATTAAAACAAATAAAAATTTTATTGAAAGAAAGACCTAAAAATAGAGTACAAATAGCTTGTAGTAAAAAAGATACAGTGGAATGTACAACTAAAACAGCAGGCATACAAAGTACAATCTGGAGTAAATTACAATTAAGTTAGAAGGAAAACGTGATTGGGAAAGGCTGCATTGGAGGAGACGCTGTGCTGCAGCGTACCGAAGGGAAGCGTCAGGAATTATGTGCTTCAGGGTGTGGGGATTCATTTCCTCAGCCTTGAAAAGGATGCAGCATACACTTTGCATGCAGCTGGTCACCTCTGCTGGCAGGCATGTAAAGAGGAGGGGAGAAATGGCTTTGGTTACTCCCCACCCTATTTCTGGCAAGTTGTTCCTGGGAGGGCCAACTCTGATGCTGCCACTGCAATTCCTGTTACTTCCAGACAGCCCTTATATCCATTACACAAGAGGGGACAGTTCCTCACAGTCTCGTCCCCAACCCACCACTACACAGGTTGCGTACAGGTCAGAACAATCTAGCCCTCATTTTTCCACATAATTCTCGCGTTAAAGCTCTCTGCCATTTTGGATGCTCTAGTTTTAATATACTATAGATCTCTATCAACATTTTCATACCTTTGCAACTGTCTAATGTAAAGAATGTTATTTAATGCATCATTACAATTCTGAATGGAGGAGACAATGTTCAAGCAGCAACATAACAGCTGAAAAGCCCATTGTCTCCTGGGGGGTGAAACCTACCTATCCAGACCAATTATTTTATGTTTATGTGATCCTAAAACCAGATGTGAATGGATGTTATGTAAAGTCATGGTTTTACTAAAAAGGATTCTAAAAAGAGAAAATTCTTATTTATGATCAGTCGGAAAAACCAAGCTAGAGAGACCTTTTTCAGTCTTGCTATGACTCTTAGGGTAGATTCTATGTGTATTTTCTTCCTTCTGCATCCAGCTAAATGTAATCCCCACCTTAGATTACGTTATCTCTGAAAACAATTGCATCAAGCCAGGTGAGGTTCCAAAAAAAGGGGGAGGAATTGGATTTTGCCTCTGTTTTTTCTCAAAAATTTGAATGTTTGAGATCTCCAACCAGCTGCAGTTGGTAGAAAAGGAGGAGTGTAAGAGATAATGGGGTGGGGGGAGGTGGGGAATTCACACAAGTTCTGAGGAAATATTTCCAATTTTTCATGACAATTTTGAAACATTTGAAATTTCCTGTCCAGCCCCCGTGCCAGCTATTTGTTAAGTATCAACTACAGTGCACTTAGTTACAGTGCATTTCTGCCACTTACTGACTTGGGGCCCGATCCTGTTTGAAAAGTGATTGTGGCTTCCTAACATGAGCAGGGAAACCCTAGTCATGGTAGCCCTAATTCTAGCCCTACTTTACTAACTGGACATAAATACCTACACTCTTGCAATTTGATCCCCTCCTACACCTGTGCTGAGCCCTGCTGACTTCTACAGGGCTCACAGTCAATCCCAGGAATTTATACATCCCACAGGAGTATGTGGTTATGGGGGGACCAGAAGATACTTGCTTCCCGAGCATGAAATGCACTTTGCATCAATCACCAGTCCCAGAAGCCACAACACAGCCTGAAACCAGGGGGAAATGTTTGAAGGAGCAGGAGCAGCACAGAGAGATGTCTACATAGCGTGGGATCCTGTTGTAGGCTGTGCTCCCCGCCCCATAGCCTATTATTTGCAATAATGTAAGCCGAGTAGGGGTCCTACTCCTGCTGTACATTACTTTCCTCCAAGACATATTAGCCACTGTCAACAAACATCTCTCTCCCCACTGCTTCTCTCACAGTAGTAACTGTGAGGAAAACAAGGGACAGGGGAGGTTTGTCCCAAGGGGCTGGATTCTGATCCCCGTAGGCATGTCAAATAGCATCATACCCCACCTCACACAAGGTGAACAAGCCTGTGCAAGATGCACAGCTTACTTTCCATCCCTGCCGAGCCAGGCTGAAACTCCACTCTGGGGCGCAGTTCCCCTATTTACCTCTTTAAACACAGTTTAGCCATGTACAGGATTAGCCCTAAAGTTAAATGTGATCTTCTATAATTTTCTGTCTCAGGACTGGAATATTGAATATTAAATTACCTATAGCCCAGACCTATCTTAACTGTACAGACGAAGAAAGTAGGATTTAATGTGTTTGTGTTATACAGTCATTTCATTAACCTCTGTCATCTTGTACTGACATTTAATGAGGCAGAAATCTCAAAGAATACATTTCTGAGTCCTTTAATATTAAGTTTCTCTGTGTGTCCTGGCTGCATTTCGTTTGTGGTTTTTGTCTTGGAAAGAGAAGTATTCCATCACTGCACAGAGAACTGTTGAAGTCAACCCCGCATGGCTAGAACAGACCTGAATATCTAGCATCTGCCATAATTATCCATCTCACAGTTTATTATTTACACATGAGCAATACAGCTGGTGAGCATCATAACTCAAGCGTATGTGTAATAAGTTACTGCACTGTAGCCATCTCCTGTTGCAACCCTTGGAAAAATACCTCATGACGACTTTTCCAAAGTCAGGCTAAAACTGCTGAAGCAGAATAAAGTGCCACTAAACCTGGCTACCTCCTATTTATCATACAATTTCCTGACTGATGGTTCCACAAACCAGCTGCTAAGTGCTGTGTACTCTACTGTCAGCAAACTAACATGCTAAATGGGAGACAGGGAGAATAATGTGCAGAACTAGTGGAATCAGTTTTACTGAGGGAATTCAAAATCTACTATGTGCGGATAATTTCTTGATGCAGAGGTAAGTAGTAAATTCTACATGCTGTGGGTCCAAAAGTGTTCTACTTTGAACAGCTTTGAATATTTATATGAAAATATGCTCACATCAAACAGATATTTGAAAGAGCTCCTATCATCCAAGGTTCCACTTAGAATGCACTTCAAACCCTATAAATATGTAATTGTTTGACATGTATTTAAATTGAAATATACAGAAGTTTGCATAGCTGTAACACATATTGTATTCCTACTGGTCATTCTGACCTCACACAATAATTGTTTCAGCAGAGATACTGCCAGACCATCACAGGACAAATTCCTCCACATTCATTTATGCTAACTAGTACGTTATTCTAAGAGTAGTCCCATTGGAATGAATGGGACTACTTGTACAGGAATGTACTGCTCTTTGTCTGGGTGGTAGAATCTGGTCACAACTGATCTGTAGCTGTTGCTAGCAGAGGTCTTGGCTACCTACAAACCCTGTAGCCACAAAGACCCTTAATAAAAGGATCTGGCAATTGCTCTAAAACAAAAAGAAAAGGAGTACTTGTGGCACCTTAGAGACTTACCAATTTATTTGAGCATGAGCTTTCGTGAGCTACAGCTCACTTCATCGGATGCATACCGTGGAAACTGCAGCAGACTTTATATATACACAGAGAATATGAAACAATACCTCCTCCCACCCCACTGTCCTGCTGGTAATAGCTTATCTAAAGTGATCATCAGGTGGGCCATTTCCAGCACAAATCGATGAAGTGAGCTGTAGCTCACAAAAGCTCATGCTCAAATAAATTGGTTAGTCTCTAAGGTGCCACAAGTACTCCTTTTCTTTTTGCGAATACAGACTAACACGGCTGTTACTCTGAAACCTGCTCTAAAACAGTGGTTCTTAACCTGGGGTGTGAGATGCCCTTTCTAGGAGTGCGAGACATGCCAGATTTTTTTAGAAAGTAAATCATCAAAAACACAAATTAAGCACAGGCACGTAAGTACAACTACTTTGTTTAATCAAACTTACGTATTTATTAACATTATACATTTTTTAATATTACTGTAATATACAAACAAAAAATATATCTAGGTTTAAAGAACTGACCTACTTCTACAATTTTTGATAAGGGGTGCGAGAACATATTTTGAGAACCAAAGGGCTGCAGGCTGCAGTAAAGGTTAAGAACCACTGCTCTAAAAATATGACATTTATGAGCTTTCTATTTAACATGCATAAAACAAAACTATCAGCAGGAATTATACTATAATGAATCAACAACATCTTCTAACAAACTTTACCCTTCATGTCGTATTTCAGAAATTATTCATAAAAAAATTCTATATCTTGGAAGATTTGGCTGAAATGAAGGCAAGGGTAGCCCATGACAAGGCTTTAAAATGTTCTTCATTAACTCAGGCCCAGATCCTGCAATCAGATCTGTGCAGCCAGAGACTTGTATCTGTGCAGAGGCCGGCTAAAGTCAATGGGCTCCATATGGGCATAAGCATCTATCTGTATGGATTCAACTGCCCAATCAGGGCCTTAGGCCCAATTCATCAAAGCCCTTGAGCACGATTCAGTCCCATTGACTTCAATGAGATGTAAACATATGGCTAAGTGCTGAAATGGATGGACTTGGGGGGAAGGGATAGCTCAGTGGTTTGAGCATTGGCCTGCTAAACCCAGGATTGTGAGTTCAATCCTTGAGGGGGCCATTTAGGGATCTGGGGCAAAAATTGGGGATTGGTCCTGATTTGAGCAGGGGGTTGGACTAGATGACCTCCTGAGGTCCCTTCCAACCCTGATATTCTATGACTTACACATATTTCAGCTTGTTTTGTTGAATAGGGGCCTTAGCTGTCTTCCTTTCCAATACCACAAGCAAAAATATCTTTAAGGTC